CCCCAAAACCCCAAAACCCCAAAACCCCATATATTGAGAAAAATATTGAATAATAATAAAATAGGATTATTAGTACCATGGATTATTTAAGAAGCTCAATGAGGAATTCTGCCATGACTATGAATTGAAACTCTCAATGCGATGAAGAGTCTTCTCAAAGTAAGTATCTCGTATGTTTGTTGGTTCTAAATTTTAAAGTTTCACTAAGATACAGAATTTTTTAATACTTTAGCTTATATCCACACATAAGTAAACATTGACAAGAATTTTATGTTGATTAAAATTGTATAATGGTAATTTAAAGCAAAATTTATTCCCCTAATATTTTGAGATGTTTGGATAGTATTTTATTCAAAATAAAATTAAACGTGAAAACCCAACTTCAGACTTGAGATTTTGTGCCTAAGTGATATAAGTGTTTTGCTGTTACTTAGAGTTGTCATATTTTAAGTCTAAATCAACCGTATTTGTGCTGATTACCATTAACATAACAAAATGTCCTCATTTCAAATTTTCTAAAAAGGGCTAAAACGAGGCATATATCTTTTATAGGAGCTCCTAGAGTGCTTTTATTCTCATCTTTGGAGGGTATGCACTCTCTATAGTTGTAGTTAGGTATTAAAAGAGGAAAAGAAAGTTTTATTAGAGCTTTTATTATCTTTTCTATGTCAGTACATCTAATCACTTTTCTCAATTATTCTTTTGAGCCTTATGATAGAATTCCAAATAGCATTTTAGGGGACTAGTTTATTAAAGAGTTTTAGTGAGCTTTCTGATGGTTATATTATATCAGAATAGAGAAGAAGCCTCTATTTTAAGTCTTTAGTTTGATATTTAAAATTTTAACTGATACACTTTTTTGAAGAGAAGTAGCAGTTTAAAACCATAGTAAGCAATGATTGCTATGAATCATAAATAAAAAAGTATTAAAAATTGATAGCTATATAAATTTGATGATGACTATCTTCTCTCTGGCTAAGTTCAAATAGCATATCTACTTTAAAAATATGGCAAAGTATTCCCTCATTTGTTAAAGCCTTCTTCAATAATCACAAATAACATTTGTAGCACAGATTCTAATTTGCTTGTAGATAGCCAATGAGATTCAAGAATATTTAATGAAACAGGACTTCTAAACTTCAAACAAGAGTTGGACTCTCCATTTGCATTCAATGAAGATCTGAATTTATTTGATGATGTTCATCCTTCAGATAATCTAGATATGCAAGAACAAGGAAATCTCGGAGTTTCGAAGTCCACTCATGAAAGCCAAGAGAAGATATCTAAATCCCAATCCTCTTCAAACATCAACTCGGACTGCAATAACTTGTAAAGTGGTTAACTTTTGAAGTTTAATTTTAGTGCTATAGTTTTATCAAATTCTTCGCCTAGAGCTTTCTTTCTTCAATGTATATATGACTGTTTTAAAGAAAGATTCGTATAAATGTGTTTGAAAATAAGGCTAACTCTAGACAGCTCTCGTGTTCACTTTCTTATTAAAAATCGAGACTTTAAACAAGAAGAGTTAAATTTTAATACTTAGCATTTTATTGAAAAGATCTCTCTTCATCTGGGCTTTCAGAGACCCTCTTCTAGGTAAAGTCTGAAATTTGAGTATATTCAACTGGTAATTTGTATACAGTTTCTCTTCCGAGTAAATTTATTAACGGGTCTCTTTTAGTAAGACTTCTAAGACAGAGCAGTTAATTGAAGAGCTTGCAGATATACAAAATTGAAAAGGGTCCCCCAGAAGTAGATGGGGCAGAGAAAAAGATAAAATTCTGTTTCAAGAAATTAGATTACTTGAACGCACTGATAAGCTTTCAATACCTGATATTCTTGCACTAAAAACTCAAGAAGACTGTCTCAAAGATGATGATTTTATGAATCTACGAAACAGAGTAGGGTGGAATGCTGCTCCAAAGAAACTACTAGCAAGAATTAAATATTGTTGAAGTACTGATTTTTCATGAAGAGAGATTAAACTCCTCAAAAAGATTCTCAAATAAAGAGCACTTTCATGATCAAATCGATCTGGAAAAGATAATTTACCACTTCCCAGGTAAAACTATGACTAGCCTTAAGAAAGTTATTGAGACTCTTACAGAATGAAGAAAAAACAAAGTTTTGAGCAAGTTCAAAAATTCAGAGCTTTTCAAATAGGTGCATTGAACAAAAAAATAATATTTGGATAAACATTTACTCATTTAAGCTGCTTTCACTTGCTGCTCTCCGGTTAGCATAAATTTTGGGACGATTGGGCAATCTATTAATGTGAGAGCAAAGTTTATCTCGATTCTAAATAGACCTAAATTATTAGTTTCTGAATAGTATAGAAAGAGAGTGATTTAGTCATGTAAAGATTTTCAGATATTTAGGATCCTAAAACTTATCCTAACATCTAAAGGCCGCTCAATAAACAAGATATTAACCGTGAACCCTCTTAGTTCCCTCTTGTAAAGCATACGATATCAATTTTGATGGTTATTGGAGTCTTGAAGAAGCCAAACCCTTAATTATCTAGATTCTTAGGCGAGAATATCAGTTTAAATTATTTTGAGAGATTTTTAGAATCATGATAAAGTGTCCTGACTTTGAAATTATTCACCCCGAGATGTTGAAGAGTGTGTAAAATATAAGTCCAGTTTTTATATAAAACTTATCCAAAATGAGGCACTTTTAATTGAAAATTAATACTAGCCTTAACTGTTCGGAGTTTTACTAGTACTGATTAGATGTTTTTGCTAGAAATTTATTTTAAATAAACTCCAGTTCAAGAATTCTTCTAGTTATTTTTATAGATTAGGAACATCTCTTATTAACGAGTTTATTAATTTGCATTATAATTGCGCTATAGAAGTATCTCCTCACTCCAGACTTTAAAAAATAGACTTTATTTTCTTCCTGCCATAGAAGTGTTTTTGAGGCCCAAAGACAATTTTTTTGAACAAAATCTCATATTTTGGGAATATTTATAAACTTTAGCATAATTCATGAATAAAAGACTCCCTAAATCGATACATGGATTCTATAGAGTACGAAGAATAATTCAAAATTAGTACTAAACCGGATTTAATAGAAATCTCTGCTTTATGTCTAAATTCATGCCTAAAATGGCTTCCTCATTGTGTTTCTTATGAAAGAGGTGAGACATTATTAAAAGGTAGTACTTTACATCTGAATAACGAATAGTTTCAGCTACTCACACAATTTATGGAAAATTATATCGAGTTTTATTCAAACTAACTGTTTCACTTCGGATGTGTTTTTATGCTCGCATATTCATCAAAGACTGCAGTGTTATTGTATCAGTAACTTTTGCTAAAGACTTGCTAACTAATTGGAACAAGGCTAAGCCTTAAAATGAGCGTTTGAATTACAGTCTGAGATGAAAGAGACCCCAAATTGGAAGTTCGTCCTTCGAGGATGAACACTGAATAGGATTAATAGTTTATCTAAAGAGTACTTTGTAATGCTGAATAGAGCAAAAACTGGGCCTAGGCCTTAGATGCTGTTTTTGGCATGGATTTATATTTGGTGTTATTTACTAGTATTTAAAGATCATCAACTTTAAAATTTCATTAAAAATTGTTTCAAAAGTTAAGAGAAAAATATTATTTTGATTCTTTTTCTTGATATATTTTATTAGCAAACACTTCATCTTGATCTATATTACCAGTCTGAAATTACTATTTTTGACAGAAAAACTAAGCTAATTAATATTAATGTCTCTAAGACTTTCAAATCTTCGATAAAAATAGCCTTAACTCTTCCTTTTAGTTATGGCTAATACATTAATTTTGCATCAGTTACAGTATTCTTCATATTATTTTGATGCAATATTTTCTAAAGTGTTTCCAGACCGTAAAAAACATTTCTACTTTTTATCTTTTAGTTCGAAGCTATTTTTTGTGCATATTTTTGTATTTTTACTTAAATAATTAAAAACTATTACATTCAACACGTCCTCATTACCTTGGGGTTTTGGGGTTTTGGGGTTTTGGGGTTTTGGGG